CAGAGGAGCAGGAAAGCTGATGTTTTGGGCCTAGACCCTTCTTCAGCCCGAAACGTCAGCCTTCCTGCTCCTCTGATGCTGCTTGGCCTGCTGTGTTCATCCAGCTCTACACTTTGTTATCTCAGATTCTCCAGTATCTGCAGTTCCTACTATCTCTGGATTAATAGACTGGTGATAATTCCATTAGGCCATCTCCTCCCTCGTGTAAAAATCAAGAGTGTGCACAGAAACATGAATTAGTACATTCTAGACAGGAACTGACTAAAGTAGGAAAATACAGCCTTGTAACTAATAAATCACTGGTGAGTAGAGAAGAAGAATGCGTGGGGAAGTTCGTCAATCGTGATCTTACATGGTGGCAGGTGCAGTCTGTACAAGAGTTTCAACTTCTCTACAAGATCGCCATGGTACATTCCACCTAGAAGATAAAACCCAAGTTACATAATACCTGACCTTCAATCATCTCACATGTAAATTGCAGTCAACTCTGAGGATTTGAGCATAAAGACTCAGGTGAGACTAGAGTGCAGTGTTGATGGAGTGCAACACAGTCAGCTATGTTGACTTTTCAATCTGACATTAAACAGCGATGTACATCTGCTACTTTGGATGGATGTGGGAAATAAAACATTGCAGCCACTATTTTGGACAAGATCAAATGAATACTCTGGATTGGCCAGTATTAATTTCTCACCAATAACAGTAAAGCAGATCACCTGACCATTCAGGAAATTTGTGGTGTGCTGGAGTTTCTATCACAAGGACATTTCAAAAACTACTTCATCAGCTTTACAGCTTTGTACAGTCTTTGGGATGTTGTCAGACTGAGAAAAGGTGCTATAGAAATAGCAAGGCTCTCTTCCTTGGGGTAGGGGTGGGCTGCGACTGAACTCTACAAATCAGGTTTAGCCTCAACTCTGAGAGGCATTAGCTGAGCTGAGTGACAGCAGGATTGTATTGCAGTTGGTTCGCGCACCTCAGGATGTTTACATTGTTAATGTAGGTCAGAGTCAGGTTCCAAAATCAAATCCCTGAGCTTAGCCATGACACAAGGACACCTGAGTTCAGATGCTAAATGCCCCTACAATTCAAGAAATACCAAAAGAAGAGACAGAGAGAGCTGACGTTTCAGGTCAAGACCTCGCATTAGAGTAAGCATAACTATTGACCCTGCAAAGTTCCCCTTATTAATATCTGGGGGAAAGTAACAAAATTGGGAATGCAATCCCACAGATTCATCAAGCAATAGCCTGACAGTCATACTTGTGGAATCATATGATACACACAAAATCCTGATATTGCCAGTGATCATCACATCCCCAAATTAACTTCTGTTAAATTCCAATTCATATCATGCCTGACAGGGACGGAGTTCAGTTTTAAGTTGGATTTGAGCCAATATTGCAGATATGGAAGGAAAAAGTAATTGCCACAGGCACCAAAAAACCTTAGATAATCTCCTGACAGTCCTATTTGATTCTGAAATATTTATATAGATACAGTGATAGGAGTTGTCTCCTCTTTAATAACTTCATGGGTCCAGCAATACCTGTTTTAAAAGTCTCATTCCTATTGGCAAATATCATGTTCTTGCCTCTACCCATTTTGTAATTTGCTCCATCCCTACAACTAACTAAAACAGTGACACTGGTTGAGGGATAAATGTCACCAAGACATCAGTGAGAACTCCCCTGCTCTTCTTCAACTAGACCTGCGGGATATCTCACTTCCACAGGATGGACAGGGGCTTTGTTAAACATTTCAGTTCAAAGAAAACACCTCAACAGTGCAGCATTCCCTCAGTATTGTCACAGGGAGGCTGAATCTCCAATAGAGACTCAAATGTTTGGATTGGGCCTTGAACCCATAAACTTCTGACTCTGAGGCAGAGGCAGTTGTGCTACCCTCAGAACCATGGCTGACACTCAAGAAAGAGGATACATATTTACCCCTCACCCAATTGATTTATTGCACATCCACCTCCACATCAGCTGACATTCACTATCAAACTCATAGGAATGCAAGAACGGAAGTAGGTCAAACACAAGCCTGTTTTGCTATTTAAGAGATCATGAGCTTCCACCAGTCTCCACTTTCTGCCTTGCCCTCATATCTATTGATTCCTCAGTTTCCAAAAATCTCTGTCTTGAATTGATTCACCTATTAAGCTTCTGCATCCCTGTTTAGGTAGAGAATTCCAAAGACTCTCAACTTTCCGAATGAAAATATTTTCTATCTTAGCTTTAAATGGCTAAGCCTTAACCTGATATTGAGAGCCCCTAGTTCTGGACGAGCATCAAAAAGAACATTGACTCACTGAGTTTTCAGGCAGTGTTTGATGTTTCTGTGGGATTGTTTCTGGAGACGGTAAGGAGTGGAAAATGAACACTTACTCAGCCCAGTGATGAATTCCTTAAAGCTGATAAGCGAGTCTCTGTTTTGATCCAAGAGGCGGAACATGCGCCCAGCGAGCACCTGAGAATGTGGTCCACAAGTCCATGGTGACAGCGCCACAAAGAGCTCCTTGAATTGCTCTGAATCAATGCGATACTGTTCCAGGTAAGGCTGGTTGAGGTCATGTCTCTCTGCTGCGCTGCTGCTCCCACCCCAGTAACAGCTCATCAAGTGTTTGGCCTGAGGGGAAAAGAAAACACCATCGATATTCTTATATAGCAGCTTCAACAATGAAAAACATCCCAAGAATGCTTCACAGGAGCAAATAGTAAAATCAACACTGGTGTCACATGAAAGAACACTAGGATTGGTAATTTAAAAACTACCCCTTTGGCTAAGCTTTTATAACGGAGCACCTTAAAGGAGGAGGGACAGGCAAAGAGGAATAAAGATTTTGACAAAGGAAGGCTTGGGACTTAGGCAGCTGAAGATGTCACCAACAACTGTGTTCTAATTATAGTTGGGGAGGTGTGCAAGATGCCAGAGTTGGAGAAATATCAGGGACTGGAGGAGAATACAGAGTTGGGAGGGGGAAGGCCACGAGATTTTCAGTCAATGATAAGATTCTGAAATGCAAGTGTTGCTAGGCCCATGGAGTTCTTGGTGAAGAGGAGGCACAGAAGTGTGCTAAACGTCCATCTTCCCATGTGTAAATTTGTGAAAAACATTTCATCTCGTGACTCATCAGGGCATTCACAAGAATACCAATGCAAAGGGGAAGAACATTGTTATACCATATGAGAAGAGAGTTTTGATCTATTCACAAGTGTATTTCAATTGGTACAGATGTTGCCATGTAGAATGTACCAGTTAGATGAAGACTGGCAGTTAACTGCCAAGCTTTGTTTAAATGTAAACCAGGGAGATTAGTAACACAAAATAGGAGGAGCAGATTATGCAGTCCATTGAGCCCACTCCATATGTTCATGGCCAATTCTCCATTTTAATGCCATATTCTCAACTCTCTCCCTATATGCCTTAACAGCTTTAGCCTCTAGAAATCTTTCTCTTTCTTAAACATATTCAGTCACTTGGCCTTCACAGCATTTTGTGGTAGAGAATTCCACAAGTTCACCACTGCCAATGAAGAAAGTTCTCCTCATCTCTGTCCAAAATGGCCTACATTTTATCCTGGGACAGTGACCCCTTTACTCAGAGAGTAGTAAGGGCGTGGAATGCCCTGCCTGCAAAAATAGTAGACTCGCCCACTTTAAGGGCATTTAAATGGTCATTGGATAAACATATGGATGATAATGGAATAGTTTAGGTTAGATGGGCTTCAGATTGGTTTCACAGGTCGGCGCAACATCGAGGGCCGAAGGGCCTGTACTGCGCTGTAATGTTCTATGTTCTATGTTCTGGAACCCCATCACCACTCTGCCAGGGGAATAAAAAAATCATCCCTGCATCAGTCTGTTCAGGCCTGCGAGAATGAGATCCTCCCTCATTCTTCTAAACTTTAATCTCTCCTCATTCAACAAAAGGTGCCAACCTAGAAATGAGTCTACTGGACCTTGGCTGCGCTCCCTTTCTGGCAAGTAAATCTTTTCTTAGGTAAAGAGACCAAAAGCTGTACAGGTTGTTCTGGTACAACGCGTGTTTCGTTAATGCAAATTGGCTGTAACACAATTAATGAATAGTGGATGCTGTTTAGATAGCGCAAACATTCTGTACAGGTAGAGAAATTTTCTATAGAGATTTCCCTATTATGTGATTTTCGACGGCGATTTTCTATAGCGCGAGGTCACACAAGAACGCACCTATTGTGTTACAGGAAAACTACCTGTTTACAATACTGCTGGTGTGGTCTCACTGAGGTCCTGTAAAGCTGTAATAAGACTTCCTTGCTCCTGTATGTCTTTCTAACTGCTTGCTGCACCTGCACATTTGCTTTCAGTGGCCAGTGTTTACTCTAATTAATCAAGGTATTGCTCAGAGGAATGAGCCAGAGAATGGCTGTCACCTATTTTGTTACGATGAAACAGAAACAATAGGTGCACATTCTTACTGACTCCAAACAAACAACTCTATCAAACACCAATCTGTATGAAAAGACATGGAGCAAGGCAGACATATAGAGTTAGATCACAGCTCAACCATGATCTCAATGGATGGTGGAAAAGGCTAATTGAAATAAAAAGGGCCTACACCTCATTCCTGTTCCCAAAGCTCCCTTCCTAATAGCATTGTGGTCCATCTAATCCCCTACTTCGCACAGGCATGGTTCAAGAAAACAGCTCACCACCACATTTCGTAAGGGAATTAGAGACGGACAATGAATGCTGGTTTAACCAGTGACAACCACAATATGCAAATGAATTTAAAACATCTCCAATAGGTAACTTGCTACCCACTCTGCTCCAAGCAGAAGTCCTAACATTTCCCATCCACTTTCCATTAACATCCCATTAAACCCTCTCTGTATTCATTTACAGCTTTCCTGAAGTGTGTTGCCCAGAATTGTTTGCAGTACACCAAACGAGACCTAACCAGAGCGTTATAAAGTTCAAATTTCACAGTTTAATGTGTGATTGATTTATTGTGCTGCACATCCACTGACCTTGAAAAGTAAATAGAGCTCCTCCAGCTCCTCGATACTGAAAGCAGTTTCCGTCAGGATAGCACGCACCTGGAAAGATACACCATCAATTCGGAGATAAAACAAGAATTGTCAGCGATAGACTGAAACAAGTTCGCACAACAGCGTGCACGAGTTTCACCCAGTATCAAAACATTCTTACAAATTGTTGTCGTTGTAACTCAGCGTCACTGGGAGGAGAGTCTACATGTAAAGCAAATGCAGAATGCTGACTCTATATAAAGTGTGTTCATTCATCTGTATCTAATCGACACTCATTGAGGATTCCTGTTTTTGTTTCTTTTTAAACAATGGGGCAGGTGTTGGTTAGCTTAGTTGGTTGGACGGCTGGTTTATGATGCAGAGTGATGTCGACAATGTAGATTTGATTTCCCACTAACTGAAGGATTTTCCTTTTCCCTCGCTCGAGGTGCGGTGACCCTCAGATTAAAGCATCACCAGTCAACTTTCTCTAATGAGAAAACAGTCCTATGGCAACTTTAGCCTGCCTTTTACTATTGGGCAGTATCTCCCTGCTGAATGGCGAATTTAATTGGTAACAAGTTTACAACAGACACAACTGAAGTGGCACTTAGCTCGTAGCTATTGGCAACCTTCTGGTTGGGTCAATAAAGGTATATGCATACACTCAGGTTGAAATGGTGAATGTGGACTGAGGACATGCAAGGATGTAATGTGCAACTCTGTCAACAAAAGCTTATGCAAGTGTGTAAGGATTAGGTTTCAGCTCTGTTCATCCTCAAATGTCTTTCTGGAACATAGCATACAAGTTGCGATTAAGATATGAGGGACAATTCAGTAAAAGTTTGCCTACACTAAATCCAAATTGAGTTACTAAGGAAGAAAGCCACATGGCCCAGGTCAAAAGATATTTTTATAAAAGTAAGGGTTATGGTTACTTTTATGGATCAGGTAAATGTAAATTTAGGTTAAGATCTGAGAATGCTTTGAGATAAAGGACTTTTTACTTGAAGACACAGCTATGTTTTAAATTTGTTCAACTTAAAAGTATATAACAGACCTACGAAGCACATACTATATGCTTACATTATTATGGAATGAGATTCTGCAGTGAGTTTTGTAGTATTTTTGATCTGTTTAGATATATCAAATGGAACATTTGGGTTGATAATAAACCACTACAGGCTAACACTACATAGTCAGACACATAGTGAGTTCACTGACGCCATTTTATGTTGGCAAAGGTTATGGAGCTAATAAGTTAAGAGGAACAAGTCATTACAAAAGGGATGATCTTACAAAGCAATTGTAGTATTGAAGAACAAAATCAGAAAACAGTAGGATATGATGTCACAAGATGACCACTACTTCTCAAGAAACCAATCAGCAACTGGGCAGATACTACAACCCAATAAAAGACTATGAACTGTTCATGCACTAATAAGCCAATTAGAATTCAAGATGCGTCTAATTGTGCACAAGGAATAGTGACAAGAAAGAGTTAATAAGGTCTGATTCTTGAAAGTTTGTATAAAAGAAAGTAACGGCCTGATTCTTACTGATTTGATGCACAAGGAAAACTAAAAACAGAAGAAGAATTTCAGTCAACCAAATGGAGAGGTTAAAAAATGGTTTTATTAAATATTTCTTTTGTTCTGGTTATGAAAGACATAATATATTCTTTAAAACTGTGAATAATATGTTTGTAACTAATCAGGGCTAGTAAACATTTAGATTGGCCCTCTGAGACTCAAACAATTATTGTAGTTGACTAAGGTCCCGAAGTGAAAACTAAAGTGCATCCCAAAATATAACATATGGGCTCAGTCGATTTCAGAAACTTAAACACAAAATCCAGGCTGATTCTCCAATCACACAATACTGAGAGGTGGTTGCACTGTTAGAGTTGCAATGAAGGATAAGACATCAAAGGGAGGCTTACTTAGCAGTCTAGAATAAGTG